TTTCTGAGAATTAAAATTTATCTGTTAAGTAATAATCCTGACTCAGCTTAAGAGTTTCGTAATATCATATCACATGTATAAGTTTTATAAAATTCTGAACTAAGTTAACCATTAGAGCTAAATTGAATTAACATCCACAATTGCTCTCCTAACCAATGGTCACACTACTGTTATTGGACAATTTCAAATTATACTAAAAATAAAAAAAGTAAAAACATTTTGTTTAAAAACTGCTTTATTATATTAGATTTAAAAAACCTTGATTGCTAACTATTAAATTTGAATAAAAATAGATTATTGTAAAGAAGTTTTAGATTTAATACTTAAATATAGGTTAGTTTTTATATTGTGTTTGGATTTGTTAGCTATAATAAATTTTGGTTTATAGATAGTATATTGTATTTATAAGTTTGGGTTGTTAATAACAAATACTATTTTTATTTTGCTTTACACATATTTATCTATCTTTTTATATTTGCAATAAATATTTTTAAAAGTTTAATTTTATTATATAAATAAATATATTTTATTTTTTTTGAATTGGATTTGTAAGATATGAAGTTTTTTTTCTCTTATTTGAAGTAATAATAAATTCATTGTTATTTTGATTTATATTAGTTGAAAAATCAATTGAAATTCTTTTAAATTCTGTTAATATATTATCTTTATCAGTTACTTTAGTAAAATTATTTATTGCTAATATAAATTCATTATTAATATTATTTTCATTTATATTAATATTTTCTAATATATTATCTTTATCTAATTCATTAAAATTATTTAATAATATTTCAATTGAAGATTTATAATATTAAAAACAATAATTACATGTAAAATTTAAATTACTAAAACATATATTATAATATAAGTGTCTATATAATAAAATAATAATATCTGGATTTATAATATTGCAAGATTGTAAATCATATAATTTTTCTTCATTTGAAATTATATTAGTATGATATATAATAGAAGAATTCCTTTTTCAAAGCTTTTTTTTATTGTTGGAATATAAACTTCAATTTGATTTTTTCTATTTGTTTTAATTTTAAACTTATTTTGTTTTCAGTTGTGTTAAATTACACCACTAGTGTTAACACCAGTTCCAGAAATTATATAATAGTTACGCAATTTATGCATTGTTACAAGAATAAATCAACTATAAATGTAAATAAATAAAAATTTCAGATTTACACCCGCATATATACTTTTACCTGGGTTATTTGTTAAAAAATTCTTGCTGCGGCAAGGTATTGTTTTCTTTTTAGCACAATAAAATTTTTTTCTTTACATTGGTCTAAGTCTAATATTTCACTTAACTCTTCCATAATAAATAGTTAGCTAGTTATTCGGTCAGTTTTAATAGCCAAGCAATTTTTTTAGTAGTCAAAAGCGTAAATTACCTACAACGGCAAGTTTATTTTTTGTAACTAAAAATAGCTTAGTTCTTTATTTTCTTTATTTAACTATGTACCTTTTCATTACTTTTACACAATAAATAGGTTTTTGTTTACTTATGTGTTTTAATTAACATCAAGTAATTTTTTTTTTTGCAAACTTAAGAGAATGTAAATTGCATGTTGCGTCTAGTTCACTTCTTTTTTTTTTACAACTAAATAAATGACACTTTAATATACATTTTGCATTATTTTGCACAGACTATTCTTATTAGAGTTTTACTGTGATCTACTTTTTGCTTACTGTTGTGCAGTCTGTTCTCATAACATAAGGTCTTTTGTGGTTGTTTAAAAAACATAATTACTGCGTTTAATTTATTTAAATACTTCATTTATTGACCTACCTTTTACATCACTATTGTATAATATACAGGTATATTATTAATTTGCCCTTGTTAGCTCTAAAGAAGAATATAAATCGTTGTGCAGACTATTCTCATTAGCACAAGTTTTTTTTTTGTAATTGCACATAATAAAAATGTGATTTCTGCGCTCAGTTTATTCTTCTATCCAACACTTCATTTATTTTACTTCATTATTGCACAATATAAAAGACTTTTTATTAATTCACCTGTTCTAGTTCCAAAAGAGAATGTAAGATTTCCTGCTTTTAATTTTGCCAACTTAACTCTTGATTTAATATTCTATACATTATATAGGTTCTCTGTTATAATTGTATATGCTATTATTATAGTCACACAATTTATAAAGATAATGAATATTTTACCAATTTCAAATATTGAGGATTATTCTGCAGAAAGTATCATTTTTGAATTCAATGACATGAGTAGTGAATTATCAATACCAAATGAACTTTCTTACTTGACAGAAATTAATAATCTGGAAGCAACTGATACTATAGAAGATCAAGCAGATAATGGTGAAAAACTTGCGTATCCTATTACCTTGGAAATGGATTTTAAACATTGGGCAGAGCTAGATGGGTAAGAAATTTATTAATACAACCTATTTATTATATTTTTTGATATCTATAGTATTGAAGTTTTTTTTTTTTAGATGGCTTGATAGTCACGGGTTGGAGCAAGGTTTCATATTTACTATTACTCATAGTGAAAAAGACAAGGAGGATGGGAATTCCCGACGTCGTGTTTATAGGTGTATGAGAGGAAGGCCATATGTTTCACAAAAAGAGGCACATTGTACTAAAGAACGTAACAGAGATCATCATACTGGTAACTGTGAATTTTATGTAAATGCATATTGGCACAAAAAGGATAATGTAATCTATATAACTAAAATTGGTGGTGAGCACGATCATGCACTTATCAAAAATATAGAAGTAGTCTCAACACATTATCAGAAGCTCACACCAGAAATGTGTAATGGAATAAAGATACTTGCATCTAATAGAGTGCGTGCTGGAGCAATCACTGAAGTTTTACAATAAAATATCCAGAAAAGTATATTCATACTCGTAATGTGTATAATGTAATTCAGTCATCATGTGCACAAGATAAAAAAGTAAGTGATGCCGGGACAATTTTTCTTGAGCTTTTAAAAAGACAACAAGTGGATCCTACTTTTTATATTGATGCACAGTTTGAAGGAAACAATAGTTACTTAACTCAGCTTTTTTGAATGAGTTCTAGTCAACAACAATTATGGGCCAGGTTTCATGATATCGTTTTACTAGATTCTACAGCAAAAACCAACCGGCATTCAATGATATTGTGTGTTATAGTCTTAGTAGATAATTACAATCGTTCACACCTTGTAGCAACTGCTATCATTTCAGACGAAACTAAAGATACTTATATATGGTTAATCACAAATATCCTTAAGGCAACTGGTAATCTGGCACCACGTCTGATTTATACAGATGCTGATTCAGCGATGATTGCAGCTATAAACTGTTCTTTGCCAATAACCAAACATTATTTTTGCTTGTTTTATATTCGTAAAAATTTAGAGAAACATTTTCTTGAAAAGTATTGTGACAATTGGAAACCTTTTTTTCAAGACTTCTGTTATGCATGTAATAGTCGCATTGAATCAATCTTTGAAAAAAGATTGACTGAATTTTTGCAAAAATACAGTGATGCTTTTAATTATTTACAGTCTCAGCTCTATCCATACAGAAAAGCATAGGCTCTTGCTTCACACACAGAGCATTCAACGCAGGTATACAAAGCACACAACGCGTTGAATCATACAATGCTATAATCAAAAATCAGGTGAATGGATTATCAAGTCTTTTAGAGTTGGAGCATAATATCAATAAATTATTAGAAAAAGAGAGTCGATTTGTGCATATTAATGAAACTATTAGACAGCTTCCAGTAAACAGAGAAGAAAGCTACTATAGCAGATACTTCATTCATATTGATACTTCATGCAAGAATTTTCTAACACCTGCAATTCTGAAACTTCAACGGAATGAAATCAACTACAGTATAAATTATCGTTGCCAACATATTACTAATTTAAATGATGGGCTTGAATTAGATGTAAGCTAAAGTATTTTTTATTAATAAGATTAGCAATAAAGCTATATATATTGTATGCTTATTTTTTTTTTTATAGTTTAGCAATGAATCACTGAATGGAATGTTTCAGAAGACATGTTTGATGCAAATATCGTTGAATTAGATGAATTAATGGCTGATTTAGATTGGGCTAGAATTCGTAAAATCTGGAAAGTTTTTTCATTAGACAAAAAAAGTACACATTTCATTGTACTTTATGATAATATCGGACATCTTTGCACATGTTTAACTTTGATAAATCGTGGCCTTGTATGTCGCCATTTTTTTACAGTAATGTTAAGTTCAAAGGTCGCAAGATTCCATATTGGGCTTATACCACAACGTTGGTACTGAGATGTATTAATTGAAAATATTTCAGTACTTGAAAATGAAGCAGCAACTACTGCATTTTCAAATAATGAACTTGAGCACACCATGCATATTGACTTTTTATATTTAGAAAGTATTTGCAGAAAGCACATTTTTACTAAGTCTGTTAATTATGAGATAGCACATAGACAACAATGGGGTAAAGGGTTTGGTTAAAAAAGGTACTTAACTTAGAAATTATGACAAACAGATCAGATAAGCTTTATAGAATTCATGAGAACCTTATTAAAGAGATGGAACAAGATTTTGAAAATTAGGAGAATCCAATTGTAAAAAATAATAAATCTGAAAAATTTGCTCAAACTATTAATAATCCTATTGGTGTTAAGGTAAAAGGTAGACAGGGTAAGAGAATTAAAGCTTTTAATGATACAATGAATATATTGAATAGAAAGAAAGAAAAAGATAAAGTGCTTCAAATTAGTGAATATCAGAGTGATTCAGATATGTATTTTAAGTAACCATATAATTAAATAGAATTTACTATTGTTGTAAGTGAAATTTAAGTAGATTTAGAAGTGTCAATTTCAAATTCGATGTTTTATATTAAAAACTTTTAAGTTCACTTAAAGTTGCAAGATTGAGAAGATAGCACAAATAAGTGAAATATGTAGATTATTTGAATTGTTATAATGTGTAAGCTTTTTTGGATTTTGTAGAATATAATATGGAGTCATCAAGTGATACAGACGAAACTGTTATGAACAAGAGAAAATATGAAAATTGTGGTTTGAAAGACCATAATACACGAACATGTTCAAGCTTTGTAGAGTATACCATTGAAGTAGAATTTATAAATGAGCTAGAAGCTAATACAAACAAGAGAAAATGTGGAAACTGTAGTTTAGAAAATTATAATACACAAACATGCCCATCCCTTCAAGAATATACTGATGTAGAGACAAGTAACGTGGAAGATATTAATAAAAGAAAATGTAGAATTTGTGGTATAAGTGGTCATAATGTGCAAACTTGTCCAAGCTAAAGAATTAAAGATCAACAATATTAAGCTATGATTACGATTGTATAATGATCAAGATAAACATATAAATATTCAATACTGTTATATATAGCTAAAATTTTATAACCATTAGAGCTTGCAAGTTTGGCATATTAGAGTTAGAGTTAGTATTTATACTAGATTAAGAAAAGTCTTTTTAAAAGTGATTTTGTTTTGAATATTTATATACACAAATTCTGTAGATAGTTATATCGATAATAGTTAAATTATAATGTATAACGTGATCTCCCAATAATAGTTATATAAACAAAAAATATAATGCAAATCACGTGATTTCCAGAACTGGTGTTAACACCAGTGGTGTGATTTAGTAAAACCAGTTGTTTTTTATAAAAATTAGTAAAAAATTTTTAAAAAAATATACTTGAATTAGAAACTAAAAAATCTAATTAAGGTTTAGAAAATAAATATTTTTTTGCTTTTAAAAAATTTAAAATAAATTTATTTTCATGTTTTTCATAATCTATAAAAATTTTATATCTATGAAGAGTTTTTGGATTTGTTAATTTAGACAAAGTACTTCTATATACTAAACTATGAAAATTCTTAACTGGATATTCATCAAATAAATTTTTTTTTTTTTTTTTTTATATTGCCAACGTAGAAACTTTTATTTTTATTTTTAAAGGCTTTTCTCTAACATATATACAGTTTCTAATTACATTTGTGCTACTATTACTAGTCACCCAATGTGGCATTATACTCCTTATTTTCCTATATTACTTTTCCATTAACTATTTCAAGCCAACTTCAAGCTAGGATCAGTTGGAGCAACCTACCATTACATGTCCCACCCATGCAACTATTTATTTTCCGTAATTTCTTCTCTCAAGCACATAAACTATAGGTCGGAGCTAGGGATGGCAACAGTCGGTTATTTTCGGCTAGCCGCTTTGTAGCCATTGGCTATATCTCGTGATCCAGTGATCCAAAATGGGATGATTTTGGCACCATTCGATTCATCCCAATGAGACAAATAGAATGATGCCAAAATCATCCAATCCGGATCACTTGGCAACAAGATACATCCAACGGCTAGCCGAAAATAGCCAACCGTTGCCATCTCTAGTCAGAGCTCAAATTTTAATTGGTGGAAAGTAGTTTAACCGGTAAGTAGGTTTATTATCGCGATAAAAAAAAAAGGTTGAAGCCATCTTTTTTTGTCATAGACTTCAGCAAAATTACAGCAGGATCGCTTCAATTAATCATTGTATAATACTAATGAATGATCTCGATAGCTATCTAATCGCACTGAACACTCTTGGTCTAAGTTTAGTGATTATTCATTGGTCTAATTTGTCTAAGTGCTTAATATGAGCTGTTCACATCTCATTTAGCTTCTTATTCACATTACACAGGTTGAACCAATGAACATCGGGCGCTTACCGGAAGACAAGTTTTCTGATAGTCTGCCATAGATCAGCCAAAATACTTGCTGAATATCAGTAGCATTTTGGCAGCATATTGGATATCAGCAACAT